TTTTTTTTTTTTTTTTTTTTTTTGTTCTATTTTTTTTTTTTTTTTTTTTTTTTTTTGAGTTGGGAGCGGGGCGGGGATTGTGTTTAATCAGAGATATAACTTGTCTAGCTTTGGAGAAATATTCTTACATCCTTGGATAGTTTTATGGACTAGACCAGTGACAGGGTATGGAGTACATAATTTTTCCAGGTTTGGTAAATGGTGCTCTGATAACTCCGTCTTCTTTATTTCCTGATTTGTTTTCTCTTCTCTTAGAATTTTGATCAATAATGCTTGTGTTTGGAATATTATCTTTGTTAGACAGCTTCAAGGTGATTTGGTGTTTGATTTTTTGAAGCTTCTGCATGTGATTAATTTTGTATCTTTTATTGTAGAGAGAGATGGTAGAGTTTGGAGATGGGAGAATACAGGAGTTTTCTCAGTTAGTTCATATTATCTCTTTCTTATTGATGGGGGGCTGCGCTGTGAATTTGATTTTATCTGGGATATTCCTGTTCCTAGTGAGGTTAAATTGCTTTTATGGTTGGCTATTGTTGATAAATTGAATTCTAAGGGTAATTTGATTAGAAAGGGTTGCATATTAATGATAAGTGTGTGCTGTGTGACAAAGAACTGGAAACTTGTTCTCATATTTTTTCTTTTTCAATGTGATTTTGTCTCTTCATTATGGAACACATTTCTGTTTAAATTCCATATTTCTAATAGTAGTCTTATTAATGTTAGAGAGGTAGGGACATGCTGGAGAAAGTCTTAAGAGCTCCTGAAAATAAAAAACTTTGTTGCGATATTTATGTGACTGCTATGATATGATTTATGATTTATCTGGCAATGGCATGAAAGAAATATGAGAAATTTTCATAATAAAAAGATGCATGCCTTGCGATTATTGGGTAAGATTAACCACTTTGCACTGTTTTGGATAGGTAATCTGCTTGGCAAACTTTGAGACTCATGTTATAGGAGATGCAAAATTGCCAATTCAGCAGCTACAGTTCAGATAGGTATAGGACGCATAATGTGTTTGTTGTGGAGCTGAATATTTCTGCAACAGATGAAACTCATAACAATGTGCAGTTGCAATAGGGGGAGCTAATCAACTGATATATAGATCTATATGCTCAAAATCTTTTGTGTTTTGGTGTTGGTTTTGTGTGGTTGTACAAGTTTATGGTTGTACATATTTCAGAGACAACTTTTAGGGGTGGTTAGTTTCACTGCTTATATTCCTTGCTAAATTTTTTAATCAGAACATCATCATCATAATTCATATGGCTGGAGGTGATGATGCTTTCTTTGTGACCAACCAGCTTTTAGGGGTGGTTTACTGCTTATATTCCAGCTTTTATGTACTAAAAAAAAAGGGGTCTCATAAACTTACGAGAACCATCCTATGCCACAGCCAAAGCATGGGAGGGGCTTGTCGTAAATTCCAAATCTTGAGCCTTCTTCATCCTTCAGCAAATAATACCTGCCAGTACTATCCTTTTCATCTTTGGGCTCACCTGCAAGCAGAAAGATAAATGTCACTGCTGAATGTCTTTACTTTTGTCCTAAGAGGATTGGTTTTCTAAAGGTTCCTCCAATTTCAATTAGCTAACCATGTAAATCTGTACTGGAGATTCTTCTACAACAAATCAATCATGCAATAAGAAGCGGGAAGTTAAAAGGTTAAATTCACGGTGAACAACATAGTTTTTTCTGTCACTGATGAATGAAAACTAAGTTTTGCCTCATTTTCAACAAGTTGGCAAGTTTGGCTACCAATTAGTCTTTATACATCATTCACATTTCTCACTATATAACAGACTAAATTCTCAAATAGTAGGTACAAGAAAGTTGCAATTTGAGAGAAGCTTAGTTTCTACACATGATAGCTTTGACAAGGGTACGATATGCATTACAAAATTTGACTTTGACTTATGTGAATAAGTTCAAAGCACAGTAAGTGATAGTAGATTAACATCATTAAGAAGGAACGGAAGGGTGAAGCAAGTAGAATATTAAAAATTAGGAAACTTATACAAGATAATGCATTAAAAAGAGGATGGAAAAATATACCACGATCCATCTTTGCAGCTGATCTCATGCAGAGATGTCTATATATGTTCTTGATTCCTGTGAAAGTCTCCAGAATTCTGCATCAGAAATCATGTAGATTACCAGCAGAATTCCAACAAAAGGTAAGCTAAAAGTTCAGCATATTACAGCTAATTTCAAGAAAAGACATACTGTAGAAACTACAGTAATTCTTTTAACAGAAAAAAGCAAAATGAGAAATATCAATAACTTTTGTGGTTTTTGAAGCCGCTAAATTGTTTCAAATATTATTATAAGCCTCAGTCACATGGTTCGGAAGTTTAGTAATTTAGGTTACGAGCTAATTGCAAGATGGGAACACATTAACCTATGCATAGCCTATCCATTGGCCATTTCTTAATCTCAAGGCGCTTAATTGAACTGAAAGGGGAAAAAAAGATTCTCGTGCACGTGTTTATTGTTGAGAATTGCTCTTGAAATCTATCTGCTCAGCCACGACATCCCTTTTTTGGGAAAATGAGCCTTAAAAGTCCAGAACAGGAAGGAAAAATCCATTGTTTGTTTGTGCCCGTATGTGCCTAACGAGTTTCAGTAATGACCTTTCAACCTAGGGTCCTAGGGTCTGCAAGCCCTGGATTCGATTGGTTGAAGGAGGAAGAAAGAAAGAAGAAATTCTACTCTCTTTCCTTCCCCTACGTATACATCCAGGGTCTGCAGACTCCAGTATTTGCCTATCAGATAAATACATTCACCTTATGGGAACTTTATGAGTGAATGTTCGTGGATGGGGATGTTCCAAATTTAAGAGCGAGCCATGGACATTGTTAAGAAATATATACATACATATAATCATGCACACATATATTAGTTCCTATTGAAATTTATCTAAACAACCATAATGATTAATTTGGGTAAGCACTTAGCTCTCAACAAAGAAATAAAGATCGTATGCATCTGCATGTCTATGAGTGCATTTTAGGGAATTCATACTGAAATCTATTGGCTTAACTGATATAATGTTTTAATGTGACGATGTCTCTAAGCCAAGCTAGATGGAAGAAAATAATTTATGTACACAACCAAAACATGGGAATAAATATTACAAGTGGAACTAATCCATGTGACTGCCAATCACTTTTAAAATAATCCTATTTGTATTCGCCAAGAGACTTATGTTATTTTCCTTATAAAAAAGAATTCATAATCTACATTCTCAGATTAGAGCAATGCCCTCAAACAAACAATGATCCAAAAGAAGCTTCATATTTCCACTACACCACATGAAAATTCTTACTCCTCACATCAGTGACCATAATTCGATTCCACAATCTTATCATTAGCAAGCCAGCTAATTCAACAACAACAAAAAAAAACGCCAGCTAATTCAAACTATTTATATAAAATCAGTGACCTTAGTTCAATTTCACAATCTGATCATTATCAAGCCGACTAATTCAGATCATTATCAAGCCGACTAATTGAAATCATTACTGCTCAAATCATTACTGCTCAAATCAGTGACCTTAATCAAATTTCACAATCTAACCATCAGCAAAGCCAGCTAACTCCAATTCTTACTGCTCAAATCAGTGACCTTAATTCAATTCCACAATCTTATTGACAGTGAGCCCACCCAAAATCTATGCATCCCAAAACTCAACTTCAAACAACTAATTCTCTCAGAATTAAGCATGAGCTGATTATAATAACCGATAAAATCAGAATTCCAAGAAAAAAACTAGCACAGCAGCCAAGAGATAACATAAATATCGAAGAAAATCATCAAAAGCAAATATCTTGCCCTAAAAATCCCATAATTTTCATAAAAAACACCCACGGAAATAAAAAACAAAACAAAATGAAAACTAAAGGGATTTTAGCATTAATATTGAAGGAGCCAAACGACCAAAAAACAAGGAATAAAAACTTACAGAAATCGAGGGCGAGAGATATTTGGGCTGTTTGGTGGGAAAATATATATTGGAGAAATAGTCGGCTTCAGATGGGGGTCAGAAGCAGGCAAGAGAAAAAGAGAAAGAAGTGGGTTGGTTTTTGTTTTGCGGGGTGTCTTTTTTCCGTCCCTTTTGCTTTTGGGTTTTTTTTAATATTAGCCCCCCAAATTGGCCAAGTTTTACATATTTTCCAATTAGTCCCCCAGGTCTTCACATTATGAACTTGGTCCCTCAAATATGTTTAAGTGTCCTGAAATTAGTCCCCTAAATCTTTCAATTTGGTGCTAACTAGAGGGAGTAGTTTTTAAATACTTGAAATATTTGATAGAATAATTTCTATGAAGATTTGGGAGAACAATTTTAAAAAATTTAATGATTTGTGGGATTAATATAAAAAAAACGTTTGCTTTTATATTGTTTTGTTATTATATTTCCTTTTGTATAACTTTGTATAAATAAGCATAAACAATTTTCCTTTTTATTAGTGATATTTTAGATTGTTTATCCCTATTTATCTCTTTACTATATAATAATTTTAAATAAGTTTGAACAACTACTTAATTTAAGTTTTATACTGTGTTGCATGCAACGGCGAATCTAGAAAATTTTCTTATGGAGCGAACAACAAATGTCTATTTACCTAGAAATAAAGATACAATATTATAAAACTGTAGTATGTAATGGGAATGCACTCAGTATACTTTAATTGTTGAAAATTTAAATGAGTTTTCACTTTTTTATGGGATAATTTAAATTGTTACTAATTTATTTAGTATTTTCAGATAGCACAGGCTTTGGGTGCAATTTTTAAAATTTATGGGGAGGCGGATGAAAATTTTTTATGAGTTTACATGCAATTATTTAAATGTCTGTTGCACCACTATAATAATGGATCCGCCACAGTGTGTTGGTATCATAATAAAGGATAAATTGCATGTAACTCTCCTCATTTCTTTTCAAGCTTTTAATTGTTTAACTGACACTTAACATTTTTATATTTATAAAGTTTAAAAAGAATAAATTTGCGGATGATCTCCCTCTCCATGTAAATTCAGAAATGTTAGCTGCTATAAAAATAGGCCTTTTTTTGTTAACATGCTACTAAAATAGTTAAGAGATGTGATATAACCGCAGATAAAGATGAAGAACTTTATATACAAATATAGACCGAGATATGCATCCAAGTTAAAGTTTCTCGATCGTTTAGGAAGATTCGATTACATTCAATAGTGATATAAATCCAAATTTAAAATACTTGTACATGTATATGATTTAATTTCTCTCCATGTGTTCTCCTCCTATAGTTAAGGATCTTAATTAGGGTTCAATAACGATCGCTCTTTTTTGTTTCCTCTCTCTTTGTGTGTGTGTGATGACTCAGCCTAGCTCCTAACAGTCTAGATCACTTGCGACAGGTCTCTTTTTGGCTTCTTTTGACAAAAGTAAAACTTTTATGATAATTATATGGCCTGACGCTTTGTCTAAGAAAGGAGAAAATTCTCATCATAGGCATGAAAGATTAAAAAAAAAATCATCAAGAGAGAGGAGTTAGTATTTCTTTAATTAAGTTTAAAGTCTCCATCTATTGCCGGCATTGACTAAGTCACAAAAGCAAAAGCATCTATACAATTCTTTTGCATTTTACACACTATTATGGTATGGTATGAGGTCTTTTTCCTCCCACCTACCTCTATTCTCATTCTTTTGTCTACGTAGAAAAACATTTGCACATGTCGAAGACTGAGTACGTAGTTGATTGAAAGGAACATTAGTTGAATAATAATTTTCAAGAAAATGCTTCAACTTGAATTAAGAAAAAAGCTTGCTGCCGGATTAATGAACTTATTTATATTCATCACATAAGAGATTTCTCTAAGGCATTTCTGCTTGGAATTTTGTTAATCATATACTCTCTTTAAAAGTACGAGTTCAGTAAAAGCTTTTCATGGTTAATATTATGTTCGACTATTTTAAATATTTTATTTAAATTTTAATCTATCCTAATCATAATTATATCCTATCCTAATCTCATGTGATCTACTACAGCTCACTAATTTTTAAAAAAAAAAGATTAATAAAATAAATGAAATAGCTCTACGGTATTAGTTTGTTAAGGTAAAGAAATAATATGCTATTATATATGAATTATTATAAAAAAACACCTAAAAAGTTTTAAAAATTGCACAAAATACTCTTAAAAGTTTAAAATTACACAAAAATCTAGACGTTTCAAAACTTAAAACAACAAACATGAAATCTAAAAGTTAACAACAGTCTCTAAAGAATTTAAAAATTTTAAGTAACACCCTCAATGTTTTAAAAACTATAGAAACACCCTCAAAAGTTTAAATAATAAAAAAGAACTCTAAAATGTGAAATTTCAAAACTTGCGAAAAACAAAGATGAGTTAAAGGGATTTCCATACGGCACTTAAAATTTAAAATTTATAAAAAAAATAACCTCAAAGTTAGAAAATTTATAAAAATACTCATTCAAAGGTTAAAAATCACAAAAAACCCTAAAATCTAAAAATTATAGCCAGTACATATCAAATCTAAAAATTAACGACAGACGACTATAAATTTGAATTTACAACAAAACAATCTAAAGTTTTAATAATTATAACCCTCAAAATTTCAGAGTTACAAGAAATATCCTAACATTCGAAACTTACCACCAACACATGAAACGCGAAAATTACAAACACTCAACTTAAAATTTTCAAAAAACACTCTCAAAGTTTCAAAATTTACAAAACACAACCTCAAATTTTCAAAATAGAAAAAGACTAAAATTTTAAAACTTAGCAAAGAAAAGAGTAGTTGTTTGATATTACTTCATTAAGATATATAAATTTAACTTCTACTTTAAGGTTTTACTATCATTTTTCAGCATCTAAAAGTAGTCTAATTTTATCGAAAAAGATAAAAGTGGAGAAGGGTTGATGATGTCTCAATAAAAATACAAGGAATGAAAAACACTATTTTATGAATATTTTATAGAATAATTTATTTTTTTGTAAATTAGAAGTCTTTAGAAGGGATTTTCATAAAAAAAAATTCACTACTTTTATATGCTTTCGTTGATGCTTTCATCATATAAAAGTGTACTAGAGTTAGCATTAATATTTAGTTTATAATTTTTTTAAAGTCTATCAAGAATTAGGAATAAACTCCATGTTATGTTTTGTGTCATTTTAACCCACTTTTAATCAATCATTATGTCTTATTAGCTTTAATTAGTCATCTTCCTTTTGGATTGCTATTTTCAAAAGTGTTTTCACTTTTGCAACGCTATATTTTCTCAGGTCAAGTTTCGTTTCATGTCAGTCTTAATAGCATGATAATTCAAATTGGTTTTAGATTACATTTATTTTCTGTTAATTTAATTATCAACATGAAAATTTAAATTGGGTGTAGCCATTTAAATGACAAATTGGGTGTAGCCATTTAAATGATATTTAAAGAAAATAAATAATCACAATACTAAAGTTTAGAGATATAAATAAGCAAAAACCATCAAAGTGGAACCGAGGAGCAAATTTTAGTAAGAAAATAAACCAAATATACTTAATCATGATATTTAACCACGTATTACATGTGCGTTAAACCTAGTGCAGACAAAATGTACAAATCATGCTATTGTTAAGATGTTTACATGTGTGGAAACTACAGGGTGCGCCTCCACAATTGAATGCAGGGGGTTTGGATCCAATTTTTATTCCCTTAAAAATCACATAAAGTAGGAAGAAAAATAAAGTATAACTAAGCGTTTTATTAATGAAAAAAGTAATGGAAACTAGAAATCATTTAGAATGAAACTATAAATGCAAAAGATCTTAAAAAAAAAGACGAAAAGTTAATTACCGCCAAGAAGACCATTATATGTCTCTACTTCAAAGAATGACACATGGAAAGTATAATCAAAGTTTTTTCTTTTTTCTTCTCCTTTTGGTAGACACTTTAATTGACCAAAACTGTCTCAAATATAGCACAATAATTAATTAAGAAAATCCAAAAAGAAAAACAAATCATATATGTTCTCATCATGTTCATTTAGCATTATTCTTCAATCTTGAGCTACTGGAAATAATTTCATAGTCCAAACACGTCAAAATTTTTGAATGATTCAAGATTATGCATAGGTCTTGAAATGTTAATAATAATTTATTTCATAGGAATATTATTATATAATATAAGGTCGTAGGTAAAAATTATTTAGGAACTTTTCAATAAGAGATCATTTTAGGCTTTTTGGCATCCGATAAAGTCTCTGATTTTAAGCCCTATCATTATATGTAAGTGGAGGAACAAAATTATATATTGTTAAACTTTTCTTTGTTCTAAAAGTAGACTGTATCTCATTGTGTATTGCTTGAAAGTTTGCCCTACTAGGTAAGATTTGAGCACAGGTTGCCTTGAATCAACAATGTATATTTCAAATTTAAATTTCGTCGCCCTTCATTACTAATAACCTATGCAAAGAAAAACTCGATAATGTTACTGTTCTATATTAGATTTTTTGGGTGGATAAAATGGGCTCTTCCATTACATAGAACTTTAAAGTTATAATGAAAGCTGAGAGTTATAACTTTATATTCTGACGCGCTCCCGCAGATTTAACCATCTTTTCGTAAGCAAAAATCTAAATCAAGATTAACCTAATACCATGTCAAATACTCTTCCAGTACACAAAAAGTCGAAAGGGTTGAGAATCAGGGATGAACCCGGGGGTGGGGTGGGGTAATTGATACCATGTAGTACGGTAGGTATACTTTCGATGTATATATCTCCTATATTTAAGCCTTTGATGTATTCAAAAGTTTTATGCCTAACAATATGCTAAGCCTGAGCCCAATTGATGTCAAGCATAGAACAATGTGCACTAAGCCAAAGCCCAATTGATCTCAAGGACAACATAATTTGCCTCATGCTCACGTTTTCAATACTAGTCCTTAAACCTTTTGAAATTAGTCCCTCAAATCATTAAATTTGCTAAGGTTTCCTTAATTCTTAGGTTATATAAAATTAGTCTATCCAATCAAGAGTAGTAGTAGCAATTATTGGAGAGATTAACTTGAAATAAATTATGAGACATGGGGACCCCCAAAACAAGCTCAATGATTTTGGGGACTACTGACAAAATATGAAAGGGGTTAATATAGAAAAATCCTTAATTTAATATTTATATGTCAGTTATATGTAATACAAAATAGTCAAAATGGTCCCTCTAATTAAATTAGTTAAAATATATATATTCACTGGATGATTTCAGTTAAAAAGTATATTCTTACCCCCATTTAATTAATGCATATGTGAAAAACTTTATTTGATGTTTAGATATTATCTTTTAGTTAATGCTATATTATTTTTTATTGTAACATTTGAAATGTGTTTTCTTAACTTCTCAGCTTTTAAATTAATATTAGAGCTTCCATATCTTCTAAGTTGCTAACTTATTAGCTTTAAATTAGTTTTTTAACTAAGTATCATTGAATTGAGTTTTTTTTAGCTCGTTGGGATATTTAAATTGAGTTATACAAGAGCATTTGTATCATCAAATTTACAACAGATAATCTTTTCGAAATTAATAAAATGAGAATGATTTTTCAATTGATAAGAAGCTTGAACTTATTTGTTTATTTGTGACATTGGGCCCTCCTACTGAACAATACTAGGCTAGTCCTTGTCGAGAATTATGACTTATATATTCTAACGTTAGGGAAATTTTATTGTAAAAAAAGAATGTTAGGGAAAATTTATTTTCTCTACCTTGCAAAATAAAAAAAAAGCAAATTCTCCCCATCATCAAGACTTAGTCAACAAGTCAAAATTCTCCAAAAAAAAATTTTCCCTTCTAACCCCTTTACCACATAAGCAATACTTTTTCATTCCCCATTATACCCCTAATTAATACCCATGTGAGCTATTCTCTTTCCCCTCTATTGGGAAATACCCGGGGCTACGCTAAACTCCTAAAACAACAAGAAACACAGTATAAAAAAAAATACACCAAGATTTACGAGATTCGGCAAACTTGCTTACGTCCTCGGGAGCCACACAATTAATTTCTTATTAATCAAAAAAAATTACAAAGCTTAGAGCAGATTTTAAACTGAGATCTCTCAATAAATGCAAGAGCAGATCTCAAACTGAGATCTCTTAATAAATACAAATCTTCACTGTAGCTACAGTAAAGATTCTCCTCTTTAATTTCCCCCTCAAAACTCCACTGAGTGTTGGGAAAAGAGAAATACCACAGCCAAGGGTTTGAGAAATCGCGAGAAAATAAGGAGAAGAAGCAGAACGCCGCCGCCTCTAGAGAAAAACTCGAGAAGAAGCCACAACTTCTCGTGCTCTGGCTTCCCTTTTACAGGAGAACCCTAGGGACAGCTGGAGACAGGCTATCGTGACCTGTCTCGACCTCGCCTGTGAAGAGACGCACGCTCGAGCTTGCTTGGAATCTCGCCCTCGCCTGAAGGTCTCGTGCTCGCCAGCACTTGACTCGACCTCACGTGAAGGTCTCGAGCTCACCTGCATCAACACAACTCGAGCTCGCCTACAGATCTGCATCATCGATCTCTCCTGAAGCTCGTCGACCTCGCCTGAAGTCGTCGACCTCGCCTGAAGTCGTCGCCTGCAGCTTGACCTCGCATGCATCTCGCTCGAGCTTGCCTGGAGGAGCCCTAGAGGAGCCCGACCTTGCTTGCATCTCGCTCGAGCTTGCCTGAAGTCGCTAGAGCTCACCTGGAGGAGCTCGACCTCACCTGCAGATCTCGACGTCGACCTCGCTTGAAGTTCTCGAGCTCGCTTGCAGCTGCGGCGACTTCGAGCTCGCATGCGGAGGTTTGGATCCACACACAAATCCAACACACACCGGCCCCCCCCAAATTATAATCTCCCTCCTCTCTTTTCTTTTTTCTCTTCCACTCCATGGCCATTATCAACAAGCTCTTATCTCGCCTCTTTTTTCTCACTTCCCCCTCTCTTCCCTCCGACTTTATATCTTTATATCCTCTTCCCTACGCCCTCTACCATCCACACACTCCTCCCTTGTCACCTCTCTCGTCTTCTCCGTCTAGGTTCACTTCCTCCTCACCACCCTCAAACTTGTCCCCATAATTTCTTTTCTTCTCCCTCTTAATATCATTCAGGGCCCACCATCATACATCCACTCCTTATCATTCTCCCTTCCCTTCTCCTCCTTCGACAACATCTTACATCCACCACCTACCTCCCCCTTCCCTCCTCCTTCTCCTCTGGCAAATTGTACCTCGATTTTTTTTGGGTCCATCATCATACATCTACTACTATATCTTCTCCCTTCTCTCCTCCTCTGACTTCATATCTCTGCATCCACTCTTCTATGCCCTTTCTTTTTCACCCCATCCTACCTCATTACCTCTCTCATCTCCTCCTTCTGGGCCCATCATCCCTCACCACTCTCAAACTTGTCCCTATAATTTTCTTAAGTTCCCTCTTAATCTCTCAAAACTAGGTACGTGGACGGGTACGACACGACTTAACAACAAATATATAAACTTAAATAAGATAAACTTAACAACTAATAGCTATGCTGAATAATTGATGAAAAAGCTTAACAATAAATGCTTGAGCTTAACAACCAATACATAAGCTTAACAACTGACGACAACGCTTAACAAATATATAAGCTTAACAACCAATGCATAGACTTAACAATCAATGCATAAGCTTAACAACAAATAAAAAAACTTAACAACCAATACATAAGCTTAACAACTAATGAAAAAGCTTAACATCAAACACACAAGCTTAACAACTAATGCATAAGCTTAACAGTTGCACACAAGCTTAACAACCGATATATAAGCTTAACAAATAATGAAAAAGCTTAACGACCAATGTATAAGTTCAATAATTAACGAAAAAAACTTAACAATCATTATTTATTAGCTTTTGCATTTCTTGTTGAGCTTTTTTATTAGTTGTTAAGGTTATTCATTGGTTGTTAAGCTTATGCATTTGCTGTTAAATTTTTTCATTAGTTGCTAAGTTTATGCATTGATTTTTAAGTTTTTTTGTCAGTTGTTAAAGTTATGCATTAATTGTTAAACTTTTGCCTCTGTTGTTCGGCTTATGCGCTGGTTGTTAACTTATGTGTTTGTTGTTAAGTTTTTTTGTCAATTGCTAAGTCTTATACATTGGTTGTTAAGTTTATGTATTTGTTGTTAAGCTTATGTGTTTGTTAAGCTTTTTCATTAGTTATTAAGCTTATGCATTGGTTGTAAAGCTTAAGCATTCGTTGGTAAGCTTTTTCATCAGTTGTTTAGCGTAGCTATTGATTGTTAAGTTTACCATGTTAGTTGTTAAGTTTATATGATTGTTGTTAATTCATGCCGTAGCAGTCCACGTACCCTCTAATTTTTGAGAGATTAAGAGAGAAATTAAAAAAATTATGAAGACAAGTTTGAGGGGGGTGAGGGGTGATAGGCGCAGATGGAGGGGGTGGATGGGAGAGGGCGTAGGGGAGGAGATGTCGTGATTTGAAGTCGGAGGAGGAGTGAAGGGTTAAAAGATAGGGGGTAGATGTGTGATGGAGGACTGAAGAAGCCAATGTACGGTTTGCTAGGGGATGAGGATGAGGAAAGGGAGGGGAGGTAGGTAGTGGATGTATGATGTTGCCGGAGGAGGAGGAGACAAGGCAAGGAAGATAAAGAGCAGATGTATGACGATGGGCCTGAAGGAGATGGATAAGGAGAAGAAAAGAAATTTGTGGGGACGAGTTTGAGGATGGTGAAGGGTGTGGTGGACCTAGGCAGAGGAGACGAGAGAGTTGATGAGGGAGGAGTAGGGCTGAGCATGGTTCGGTCCAAACCGAAAAAACTAACCGAACCGACCCGAACTGACCCGAAAAAATCGGTTTTATGAGTAGGGCGGTTCGAGTTGGTTTGAAAACTTTTTAACCCGAACCGATCGAATATCGTGCAATACTACCCATTCTGATCTTAAACCCTACCCGACCCGTCCCCAAAGAGTCAAAGACTCAAACCCTAAACTTATTTTCTGAATCATTATGGGTTAAAAATAATATCATTATATCAGTGTTTAATGCTTCATAATCTCCTACTTGTTGATATCTTTTTTTCTTTAACACAGTTTGTTGTTTGATAAGAAGTTTGATGAAGTTAGAACCGAACAAACCGAACCGAACCGCACCGAACCGACTTACAACAGTTCGATTCGGTTTTGAATTATAGACGGTTCGGTTCGGTTGTTCAAATTTTGGTAAAAACTGAATCGAACCAACCGTTGCACACCCCTAGGGAGGAGGAGGTGGATGGTAGAGGGCATAGGGAACTGAATATAAAAACATGAAGTCAAAGGGGACGGAGGGGGGAGGCGGGGAGTGAGAAAAAAGAGAAGAGGTAAGAACTTGTTGGTAATGGCCATGAAGTGGGAGAGAAAAAAGAGATGAGAGGATAAATGCCTAATGATAATGGGTATGAAGTGGGGAGAAAGAAAATATAAAAGGGGAGGAATATGATGATGATGATGAGAGAGAGAGAGAGAGCAGGTCACATATGTATTAATTAGTGGTATAATAGGGAATGTAAAAGTATTGCTTAGAGGATACTATGTTTGAGGGTTAGAAGTAAAAAAGAGTTGATTTTGGGGAATTTTGCCTTGTTGACTACGTCTTGTGGGTGGGGGTTTACATAAAACTTTATAAAGGCCCATTAGCCCATGAAGAAGTGTTTCACGTGCACGCTTGCTTGGGTCGTATCGATTTCCTTCGGATTTCTGCTAAGGCCCATAATTAGTTGAAATTCTTTAATCTTTCTCAGTCTCTTTCTTCCCTCGTCCCCACCACTTTCTAAACCCTAATTCCCCCAAAACCCTAGCTTCCTTCCATCTCCATCTTCAAGCTTCGACCATGGAGGAAGAAGAAGGGAACCGGCCTCAGCAGAAGACGCAGAGGAAGCACAAGGGGAAGCACGACAAGCCGAAGCCATGGGACGACGATCCCAACATCGACCATTGGAAGGTGGAGAAGTTCGATCCAACTTGGAATGAAGGAGGAATGCTCGAAGTCAGCACTTTCTCCACCCTCTTTCCTCAGTACAGAGGTAATTCCCCTTCTCTCTCTTTGCTCGTTTCTGCAAATTAGGGCTTAGGGGTTCTTTAATTATTTCGGATGGAGTAGCGATAATTAGAATGCAAACCCTAATCTACTTTTGTCTACAAGAAACGAAAATGCGGGCTCCTTCGATAGTGAGTATTCAAGATAAAGATTGTTTCTTTGTGTTGGATATAATATTTATGATGGGAAAATTATGAAGATGGAAGCTTGGTGATTTGTTGTCGATTTTTTCTCAATAGATTTGTTTGATAGGCAATCTATGATGAGACCACTATAGAAATGTGCGTGCGCGCGTGCGCACACACGCGCACATAAATTTTTCTGCAGTTATGTTAGCTTCTCTAGCGGTTGATCTATGTTTGTGTACAGTATTTATCAGTTCTGTTCCTGTACAGAAAAATACTTGCAAGAGGCTTGGCCGATTGTTAAACGGGCACTAAAAGAGTTTGCCATTAAATGTGAGCTCAATTTGGTAAGCAACTGAAATAATTCAGTAAAATTATATTTTTCTTTTCTATGAATGAATGCCATACCCTGATGGTGTTTTATATTTTTCATTTATATTTTTTATGACATTCTTTACTCTCTTAGGTTGAGGGATCAATGACCGTTTCAACTACTAGGAAGACTAGAGACCCATATATTATCGTCAAAGCAAGGGACCTCATAAAACTTTTGTCACGGAGTGTCCCTGCGCCTCAGGTATGCTTGTTGCGGCATCCAGTTGTTTTTCTCATTTGCAACTTACTGCACATGGAGCTATAAATTTTTTTATTGATTGAATGTATGGTATGTGCTGCATTTAGTGTCATTTCTAAGAAAATATAAATTATTTTTTGGGGTGAACTGGAGAAGTGCTCCTTAAATACGGTAACAGACATTTTATCTGATGGCTAAAGAGCTACCTATTGTTCAAGTGTTAGTCAATGAAGAAACATGTCTAGAAAATATAGATAGCTGAGATTTCATTGGTAAGATTGTTAAGGTATCTTACTGGAATAAAACCTGAAAGATTAGGACGAGAAATAACGATATTTTCAATACGTTAAAGGTAGCTTTAATAGGGGATTTGGTGAGGTGGATTGGTTGAGATTGTATAGTCCTTTTAATGGAATAGTAAGTGCATTTGTTAGTAAGACTGGCAGCCTTAGTTGCAGTGAGGCTATGGGTAGATCTGAACATGAATTCAGGAGGTTAAAAGACTAATATACTTGTTAATAATAGAGTGATAGCCCTTGATAAAAGTACTGTTATAAATAGCGGTAAATAGCCCCGCAATAGTGGCGCTAATAGCGTTAGCGGTCCCTTCCCGCGACGTTATCGCCCGCTACGCTATCACGCAATAACGGTGACATATTGCGGAATATGTCTGTTCGTAAAAGCGGCCAATAGTGTGTCATAATGGTAAATAGTGAGCGATTGCATTCGAAATTTACTTTTTGACAGCTATTTAAAAGCGGTTTGAGGTTTATTTTTTTATAATTAAACTCAACCCTTGACCATTGCATTCCACCGTCTCCTGTGATTTTCAGCGTACTCCCGTCATCTCTCATAGCCTCTAGCACCTACCTTAATACTTCCTCTCACCTCCTTCACAGTGAGCTCCTCTTAGGGCAGTCCTCTCACCGCTAAGCTTTTCTTCTCGAAGACGACGACTTTTTGACTCCTCTATCCATCTTCGGTATTACGTGATGGTTACATGTCTATTTCATGTTTAGGATCTCTTTAAATCATCTAATATGTACTTTTAGATTTCTTAGATTTTTCTTTAATTTTTCTTTTTTTAGTATTTATAAATATCTGAATTAGACCGCTATTTGACTTTGCGCTTTTTACCGCTATTTTACCGCAATAGCCCGGAATAGCCTTAGCGATGCCTTACCGCTACGCGATGCTATCCGCTATCGATAACCTTGTAAAACTGAATGCAGAAACCTGTAGCCAACCCTAATTTGGGTAAAGTCTTGGTATGTATAAATGCATTGATCTCCAAGCTCTAGGTTGCTTTTTCTTTTCTCTTTAATTCAGAATAAATGCTTTGAGAGCTAAAACATCATTTGTTTCTTTTTTTGGACACTTGAACTAAAAGTGTGGTATGAATTCCTTTTTGATGTTGTAGGCAATCAAGATACTGAATGATGAGATGCAATGTGACATTATAAAGATCGGTAGCCTCATACGTAACAAGGTATTATATTTGTTTTCTCTAGCTTCAGATCCTTTGCAGATGCAATGTCCTATATTTCCCTCATATTTTCATTTCAAGATTTTGTTAAGTTCAGCTATGCAATACAAAATTTACACATTTCATTTGAAGATAGGATTATAAATAACTATTCTCTTGTTATTTTGGCGGGAGAAGATAAAGTTTCTCTAGCACAATCTCAAGAATAGTAAGAAGTAAGAGACGCAAAAGTAATGTGATTATAAAGTGGATCTGTTTTTTTCCTTATATTGGCATCAAATTGTGATTTAGCTGCCAATAAATGAAATTTCCTCAGATGGTTAGCAACTTATAAAGCTGAAATATTGCTCCTGTGCCTCCGTCTTGATATCTTTGATATAAGTTACTTGTGATCTACACAGGCTCATTGTTTCTGAACTTAGGCCTGCTTAAATTTCTGTTGAAAATGCAGTAGTAAATCAAGTTTATACTTGTATTATCAAATAATTCTTCATTCAAGTGCTTTGATCTGGAATGTGGCAATCTTGAGCATAAATGTATTACATTGGTGCTCCATGGTTTAACATACTAATGTGAATTAATCTACTTGCTAAGAAAAAAATTCTCTACTGACATTCGAATCGTGATATTATTTAAACATGCTTTATACTACTGATATTTGTTTAGTATTCATATCACGTACTAACATGCTTCAACAACTGTGATACTTTTTCTGTGCGTCCATAAAAATTCAATCATGTTCTCTGTGTAAATGAAAATGCCGATTGCGACAAATCTGCAAAGTCAAGTTTTTTCATTGTGATCAGCAATTAGTTAAGCAGAGGTGTCAGCACACCTTTTGTATGTGTTACAAGCATTTGAGTGCTTATTTGTAAACTTGTTATTTTCTGCAGGAACGATTTGTCAAGAGGAGACAGCATCTTTTGGGCCCTAATTTATCTACTCTGAAGGTATCATATGTTTTATGAACAAGTTAGTTCAATCAATCATCAATTATGTGCAATTAGTCCCTAGCTTTTACTTCATCAGTCTAGCTTATAAAACATCCACAATGCTACAGGCCATTGAAATATTGACGGGTTGCTATGTGTTAGTTCAGGTACTGCTCCATTTCTTTTATGCTTATCTAAATTTACATATAAGTTACCTTATCTCATTCATTAATCGACCTATATTTCCATTAGGGAAACACTGTTGCTGCGATGGGTTCATTTAAGGGTCTAAAGCAAGTTAGGAGGATTGTAGAAGACTGCATCCAGAATGTGCTACATCCCGTGTACCACATCAAGGTGGGTTCTTCGCTTATTAGAGATCTCCGTGAAGTTTATCCTATAAACGTAGATCTGTGAATAGATCAGAATTTATGTAATGTTGTTTGCTGCTTGGCAGACTCTTCTAATGAAGCGAGAACTTGCGAAAAATCCAGCACTTGCTAACGAGAGCTGGGATAGATACCTTCCTAAGTTCAAAAAGTATGTCATGTTTTCACAATAATAGATAAATTGTTTGCTTCATCCTGCATGATATTTATTTTCCGCCTCTGTTTTTATTTGAGAAAAACCTTATTGTTTTTTATTTTATCTATTTATTCAGGAAGAACGTCAAGCAAAGGAAAGTTAAGACCAAGGAGAAGAAGCCTTATACACCTTTCCCTCCTCCTCAACCACCTAGCAAGGTAAAATACAGTTACACGCTTACTGCTCTGATTACGTCTTTGCTGCTGCAATCATTATGCTTCAGCAATTTTCTTCAATATAGTGGTCCATTTTCCTTGTTTGATTTTGTAATAATGGAATTTCATGACATTGTCATGCTTGCTTAATTTTATTGGTGCGAAACACCAGTTTTGATGTCTTATTTAGTTATTTAACAGCATTGTCTAAATTATGTTCAATTGTTCATAATTCAAATTTTAATTCAAATATCATGTTGGAAATCTAAGAATCTACTTGGGGCACACCTGTGTTAATCCACGTCAACGAGTCATGATGAGATCATAATGCTGTCCCAACATTGATGATGACAAATTGATGCTATTCTGTGAAAGAACTAAATTTTTTCATACTTGAACAACTTGTGTGTTTCATACGCTCATTTGTATATTCATCTTCATGCTTTAGCCTTGTTAGTTTAACAATTATTTTGGTGCCCAATTTCATGTTCTTCTTCATAAAATCTCTGTATACATGCAGTTGTTGCTATTTAAATATGTTACTTGAGTTTTTTCCTCTACGTCAAGGCTGTAAAATCTCCTTTTCCTAGTTTCATTTGGACATGCTTTTAGTGAACTTTGATGCTAAGTATGTGATGTGGATTCTTTCAGATTGATCTTCAATTGGAAAGTGGTGAGTATTTCTTAAGTGACAAAAAGAAGTCTGCGAGGAAGTGGGAAGAGAAGCAGGAGAAGCAGGCAGCAAGGACAGCTGAAAACAAGAGGAAGAGAGAGGCTGCATTTGTTCCACCAAAGGTTCAGTCTGCAATTAGTGAATTCCTATTATTTTGAAGAAAATATTCATTTGGGATTATTCTGATGACTTACTTTGGCATGCTTTCCAGGAGCCTTCTGCTCATGCATCTGATAGCACTAAATCCGACAATGTCAAGAGTGAGGTGTCTGATGTTGCAGCGTCTTTGAAGGTAATTAATTTTTCTTCCTTCTTTTCTCCTCAAGTAAGCATTACTCTGTTCAAAATTTGTATATCCAACCCTCCCTCGTTTAGACATATTGCAGCTATGTTATGAACACCTGTCAGTTCACTCGCTTTCTGCATAGTCATTAGTTTTTAAATTGGGTAATGTGATATACAAGTCTAGCTTCTGGCATATATTGCATTGACATGGATACAGTGAAATGAATGCATTGCTAACAGGAAATACAGCACATAAGTTTTAAGTCATACTTATAAACCCACAATGACACAACAAATCGGGTCCAATACAGTGTTCGACATGAAACAGTTACGAAATTCAAGTGTATGTGCTTTCTATGGACCTGTATTTTTTTCTTAGGCACAATAGCCAGTTTTAATTCTGGTTTCAATTTTTAGTAAAACACTTGCATCTAGCATCTAATCTTGTATATCTCTAACTTCCTGAATTGCTAAACTTTACATGGTAAACAACAACAAAGCCAATTTAGTCTTGAATTAGTATTTTTCTTTCCAGTGCTTGCTTCATTCTTTCACATTGATTCCTGTACGTAAAATGGGATGACAAATCATGATGTAAATCCACATGATAATTCTGTGCTGTGTGTGAAAGTGAGAAGGCGAGAATTCACATTATGTATGGGTCAAAAAATATGGACATCGATTGGTGTTTACTCATAATGTGGTATTGTTTGTGAGAAATTTTTTTGGATAACGATAGAACTTGGAGGATGCAGATGGATCCATTTTGGAATTGTTCTTTTCTGAGGAAATTGGTTAGCGAACATTGTCTGGCAATAAGAAAGTTGTGTGGTATTGGATGGGCTACTTATCAGCTGGTATAAGATAAATTAAGCCAATGATTATAGGAATAAGAATTTGGAAAAAATTGAAGTGGAAATACTGGGAACTGGAAGTAAGATACAAGAGGGATGGATGATTCAACAGAAGCGGTATATGCTAAAAGGAACATCATTTGCATTCAGCTTCATAATCATATGAACAGCCTCGTGTAAAGTTAGCCAAGGGGCTCAAATACCGGCAGCAAAGAGAAACTGCATTTTCTTTTTTGTTCCTTGGTACAAAAGTATAGATAGAATGAAGACAACACCAGTCTGTAAACTTTTTGACATTTTAGCAGGAAATGAGTTGCAACTGTTTAGATATCTGGGTAGGAAATACATAATTTGAGTCCTCTATTCTCTTTCTCTAAAGACGTCAATCAAGGTTTGAGGTATCAATTGATACCAATTTGTATTTGGCTGTATCATATCAGATTTTAGCATTTAGGTATGTTGATCTTGCCCAACTGAAACTGCTTGATGCCATCAATATTGACTGATAAAGTACGATTACAGACGGATACTCTAATAATATATAGTATTAAGAATATGTTCACGTACATAAAATTGATTTGACAAGGTTACATTGGGATAAAAAATCATGAATAGATAGCCCATGTTATAACTTGTCCCATCTGTCAATAATACTATCTGAAGCCTCAAACGTATCTTGTAATTCGTAACTTCGATCAAATTTATATAAGTTTTGAAGTGAGTCTTCCATTCGATTGATTATTTGTTTTTTTTTCTGTTATAATGTTACAAGTTTTTACAGTGTTTCATTATTTTTTTTCATCGGTGAAAGCCAAAGAGTTCAAGAAGCACTTTTTATTTTTATTGCTAGGATCGGAAATAGAAAGATCAAATGAAGCCCACATATGTCGTGTCCTCTAATCTAGTAAGTTTCTTTTACCGTGTTTTTGCTTTTTTTTTCACCCCCCTACCATGGTATTCTACGTGTATCGTGAAAATTCTCACATATTGTTTTTATGATAGCATCTACAGCAAATTTAAATCTCTGTTTTTCCTCCTTGTATGTGTATGTGATAGTGTAAAACTCAAGCCAGTTATGTGGTGAGGAACATTTAAGGAACTGACCGTTTTGTTGGTAATGTATGAATTGATTTGGAGAACTTGCAGTCATTATAGATTTATGTATCAGTGAACAATCTTTCTAGAGTAGTTAATAAGAATTAATAGAATTGTTGTTATAGCCAGGTCTATATATTCAAGGTACTTTATGGATAAAAATATATAGAGATGAACATAGTTAAATGGGAAATTGAAAGTTATTTTGAACTTGTTGATTAACATGGGTTAATTGGATCAATGGTCACTGTATTTATTACTTAAGTAGACGTTAATATCTATGTTTTGATTGGATTTGGATGAACCATCATTTAAAAATGTAACTAAATACTAATTTGATCGTTAACCGCTTATAATGCTTTTCATCAATTGCATAACGGATTTAACTGACGTGGCATAAAAAAAGTCTAATCATTTGACATAACAAATTTCTTATTGTGTAATATTAACTTTTTTTTTTCTTCTCGTAGTATTTCCTGTAATGTTTTCTTAATATTTAATGCAAGTATATGATCATTGTCTTAGTCTTTATCTTGGTTTTGAGTAGGCACTCGGGTATCAACTTGAAATTAAGCAAAATTCAATATGATAAGCAGTACACCTTCAGAACTGGTCCAAGAGATGGGACTGCATGAGATAACTTAGGTAACCTATCTAAATCGTAAATTTTGAGGTACACATAATTAATTGTCATTGGGTCGAAGACGAAAATAGAGAGAAATTGTAGGTTATAAGTTATTTAAAATGCTGATTTTCAAAAAAATAAAGCTTATTTGTCATTAGGTCGAAATGAATGAAAATGGACAAAAACTATTGAGTTAAAAATGGATAAAATTTGTGAATTTTAAAGTACACCAATAAATTGTCGTTAGGTTGAAAAAAAGGTGACGAAAATCATGGTTTATAGATCATGGAATTTGATAATTTTAAAAACAGAAAAATTTATTTGTCATTAGGGCGTAAGAAACGAAAATGGACATAATTTGTGTATAACAATACATAAATCGCAAATTTTATATTATGTTATAATTGATTGCCATCGTGTCAAAATTGAAGAAAACGAACAAAAAATGTGAGTTATAGTCCATGAAATATACGGATTTTAAATATACCTAAGCAATTGCTATTATGTCAAAATCGGCAAAAGTCTATAAAAATATTAGCTATAGCCCCATGAAAGTCATAAGTTTTGAAGAAAGAGAAAACTATCATTTGGGTTGAAAAGAGCAAAAGTAGATAGACGTTGGGTTATAGTATGAAAATTGCTAATTTTGAAGAAAAAAATTAATTGCTATTATGATGAGATAAAAAAATAAAAAATAAAAAATAATAAAAAATTAAAAGTAAAAAATTAAAATAAAAAACCATGGGTTACAATCTATGAAAATATCAAATTTTATAGTACGCATAATTAATATCTATTTGGTTGAAATGGAAAAGTATCGTGTATTAGCACTTGAAATTGCGAATTTTGAAGCATACCAAATAATTACAATTAGGTCAAAGCAAGCAAATGAATAGAAGTTAATTTTCATGTTTTATTGCCCAAGAAAATTGCGAATTTTGAAGACAGAGAATCTAATTTCCATTGTATGAGAACTATCGAAATTGGACAAAAGTCGTGGATTGTAGCCTATGAAATTATGACTTTTGAACTACGTATAGTTACTTTTCATTTTATTTGAAATGTACAAAATTTCACAAATATTGTGCGTTATAGCACATAAACATCATAAATTTTGATGTGCACATACTTAATTTCCATTCGGTTGATATGAATAAAAATTGTGAAAATCCTGATTAATAGCTCATGAAAAATTATAATATGGTCGATATGAGGAAACATTGCATAAATCGTGGGTTATAGGCCATGAAAATCATGAATTTTGGATTATGTGTAATTAATTACCATTTGTTCGAAATGAAAAAAATTTATACAAATCGTAGGTTAAGCCCATGAAAAATGCAAAATTTGATGTACACAAATAATTTTCATTTAGTTGAAACCATGTAAATAATGAACTGCATGCACTTAATTGTCACTTGTTTGAAATAAAAATATTGAATTTTGACGTACACATAATTAACATAATGAACAAACACTGCGAAAATCATGAGTAGCTCATGAAATGATGAATTTTAAACTACGCGTAGTTATTTTCCATTTGTTCGAAATTTACAAAAAATGTGAGTTATATAACTTATGAAAATCATAATTTTTGTTGTTTATATTTTAATTTCCATTTGGTTAAACGAGTAAAAATTGTGAAAATCATGAATTAGCCCGTGAAAATCATGAATTACTTAATTGCTATATGGTCAAAGTGAACAAAAATTGACAAATATTGTGGGTTATAGCCCATAAAATTATAAAATTTTATCAATTTTGTTTCAATTTGGCCAAAACAAACAAATATATTAAAAATTATAGATTATAGTCCATGAAAATCATAACTTTTAAACTACATGCATTTAATTGCCATTTGGTAGAGATAAATAAAATTTGACAAAAGTCATGAGTTATAGCACATGAAAGTTACAAATAAAAATTTAAAAATTGTGGGCTATTACCCTAAAAATCATGAATATTGAACTATACATAGATAATTGCCACTCATTCAAAGTGAACAAAATTTACAAAAATTATGGGCTATACATGAAAATCGCAAATTTTAATGTACACATTCTTAATTTCCATTCAGTTGAAACAAACAAAAAATGTGAAAATCACTTACTATTTGGTCGAAATGAACAAAATTGAAAAAAAAATCATAGGTTATTGTCCTGTAAATGTGAATTTCGAACTAGGCCTAGTTAACTGCATCTGTTCGAAATGTACAAAAAGCTACAAGAATCATGGGTTGTAGCCATGAAAGTTGTAAGTTTTGATGTACAAATAAATAATTTTCAATGGTAAAAGAAAATTGAGAAAATCATTGGTTATAGCCAGTAAAAATCATGAATATTGAACTACATGTACTTTATTGCAATTTGGTTAACATGGTTGAAAATTGATAAAACTCATGGGATTAGCACATGAAATTCTTGAATTTTGATATACATAGTTAATTATCAATGGTTGAAACGAACGAATATTGAAAAATCATGGGCTATAACATATGAAATCATGAATTTTGAATTATTTGTAGTTAATTTCTATTTGTTCGAAATCTACAAA